GGCCTCTTCCCGTCTTTTCGCAGAAGGTGCAGGTGCTGCCGCAAACCGTCCTCTACATCGCCGACGCAGAAACATTCAGTGGGCATGAGGAGTGTCACGAGCAGAAGAAAGGTAAAGCTCAGACTAACTTGTTCCTGCCTCAGGAAGCACTTGGGTGCGAGTACAGCGCATAGAGGAAAGTCAGCTGAGAGGGCGTTCCTCAGATTTGAAGGGAAAGTAAATCTTGTGCAAAAAACGTAACCCCGCGGTTTTATGTTTGCGGTGTCGAACATAGCTCATGGATGTATGTTGTTTTGTGTTCCTCTCCCGCTTTCTGGAGGGTATCGACTCTGCGCGCCAGTAGTCCTGTGCTCTTGCCAATGAGTACAGATTTGCCATGTTGTTAAGGGGCAGCCACCGATGGGCAGTGTTATTTGAGTGGGATGGGATCGACTGCAAGAAACAACTAATTTCTACTTCTTTTGGGGTTTTTCTGTGTCTCTAACAGCCAGGAAAAGAAACAGTAAAGAAACAGCAATTGCGCTCGAAAAATTGTTGCCGAAGCGGTGTCAGGTTCTTGGGCTGGTCACCCCGGGGATTGTAGGTAGGAGGAAACCTGTGATTTTGCGAGAGATCAGCTTGAAGGTCTCTGGTGTATTGCACATCTCTTCCTGTTCCTGTTTGTCACAATTTCATATGTTTTTGAAAGCACGGTCCTGCAGACTGGTGGGAGAGTTCTCGCAACGATTACCGTGTTCTCCCACCTTGTTCAGTGCTAGCTTAAGTTTTAAGGAGTTCACAGTATCGCTGCTAACTCATGTGGAGCTTAAATTCTTACTTCATGTGATAATTCAGTTATAATTAAAAGGCTTGATTTAATTGAGCAAGCAACTTGTTGCAGTTTTTCCAGGCACCTAAATGTAACTATTGAACGTTTCTTGGATTTATCTGTATTTTTTAGGGTCACATTGTGACTAATTGTACAGGACATCCTCAGTATGTGCCTGTTTGTTGTGGTCTAGTAGGAGGCATATGCAATAACTGGAAAATTCACAACCTCCATTGGCGGTCTTTCTCTAGTTTTTCACTTTTTTATCATTATAAAGTTTTTTTCCTAGTTTCTTGTCTTAAATTATCTTCTCAGAGCATAAGCAGGGTATTTGATTGTTGTTGCTAGCATAATTCAATAATAAGCTCCCAATATTTCTGTCCGTTTGCTTTATGCTGTCAGTACACGCTTGTATAATGTTTTTCCCCATTTCGCTTGCGGTCTTTGAAAATCCGAGCGTGTTTGCATACCTGCAGAAGTTGGCAGGAAGGCACGAGACAGCGGTATTGTGCAGTACTTGTTTTCCAGCTGATTTATATTTGGTGTGGCAGGGGGGGAAGTGTCCAAACATATCCACGTCTCCTTGTCTGAAGTGACGTCGTCATGATCTATAGTCAGCAGTGCTCCTACATGCTTCATCTTACCCAAACATCAACAGAAAAAAATCACACCATTTGTCGATCAGATATGTTGTTATGGGAATGAACTGTCATGTTTTGCATTGTCTAAGATGTTCTGCCTCTCTTAATCTGCATTACAGCGTAGACGAAAGCATTAGAATCACTGAACACAAGATGTCTGGTTTGGTGTCTTTGTAGTTACCCCTATGGGTTCAAGCAGCAATCAACCTCAAGAAATCGAAGAGGGCGAAGCTGGGTTTGCTTTGTTGTTTCCCAAAATCGATGGGGTGAAAATTCATACCTTCCACTTTTCAAAAGACTTGAAGAACAGGGTCTTTGACGAAAGTAAATTTGCTGAAGCAGGTACATCCTTGTTCTCCCCTTTATTTGGGCTTTTGTGAAATGTTGCATTGCTCTCTGAGATGCCAGCATGGAAGCAACAGGTTCTGTGCTAACTGCATTTGTAGAGCATGCTGTGGCTCTCTAGGGCTGCAGCTGGTAATTACGCGTTTCTCTTCTGCCCCTTCTCTGGAGTATTAAGTTATTCTGAGTATTGATCTCAGATTACCTCACTTAGGTTCTGAGCGGAGCTGTTCGGAGGGAGCTGTTACATTTTGAGTCACCTCTAATGGGTTAAAAATAACGATAAATGAGTTTGTGCCATTGGGAGTGATTCCCAGCACTGCAGTTTAGAAATAAGTGGGGAGGAGCTGCTTCTCCTCCAAAATAACATTGCATTTAGATCCCGAGTCAGGTGTTGTAGCAAGGAAAAGGAAAGGTAGAACAGAAGACAGCGTGTTTCAATAAATACAGTTTGCGTTCCTCATGTCGTGTCCTCAGCAGGGTAGACCATTTATGTAGAGTAATACAATAAGGGTTTCTCGAGTCTTCTAGGAGTCCAGGAGTTTCTGCCTTGGGATAAGCAAGTGGCTGATGTACATAATGTATTCAATTTTCAGGCAAAGCTATCTACCGCATTGTGGTTCTTCTTGAACAACCTGTATGCTCAGTTCTTACTTGTAAAAGGACAATTACGGCTGCCAAGTAAAACCAAAGAGCTGTGCCTTCAGAGGCTGTGGTAGAACTCAGATGCTCTGCTAAAGAAGTTTAAAGCCGGAGGAAGCAGATGCAGTCATCTTTTCCTTGCTAGGTTCTTTTCAGAAACTCACTTACATGGGGAACGCAGCCCAGCTCCTGAAAGCCGGGGCAGCTTGTGTCTTGTTTTCCCAATTGCAACAATGGAAAGCCATTACTGAAGGCGTGATGTGTTATTTGAGGTGAGACTAGGATGGCTGGACTAAAGGGGTCAGGATTTAAAAATACGAGGATTGGTGTTTGTGGTTTTTGTTTGTAGGTCTGAAAAATAACCCAGATCTCCGGGTGGTTCTTCTGTTTGGCTACAACTCCTGGAAGTCTGGAGCAACTCGATTTCTTCATCAAATAGTCAATCCTTTGAATGAGAAAAGTATCATCCTGGCTGGGGGACAAGTGGAGAGCTTTACATCGCTGACCTCTGAGAAGTAGGTATCTCTTTCAAGGTAAATTGTAAAGAAGATTTAAAATGGGAGAAATGCTGCGGAAGCACATTCAGGTTGGGAGCGGTCTCTCTGGAATGTTCTCTGACTCGGTGCCTGTTGCCTTTCAGTAACAACGCCCAGCCCGGCGATGCCTGCGGTGTGGTTGGGCTGGCTTTCAGCGGTCCCCAGATCCAGAGCGCCACTGTTCTGTTAGACCAGGACGTAGCTGACGAGAGGACAGCAGAAGCCGCCATGCAGCGTCTCAAAGCAGCAAACATCCCCGAGCATAACACCATTGGCTTCATGTTTGCCTGTGTGGGCAGAGGATATCGGCATTATAAAACCAAAAGGAATATGGAGGCAGATGCATTCAGGAAGTTTTTTCCAAATGTTCCCCTTTTTGGCTTTTTTGGACATGGAGAAATAGGATGTGATCGAATAGTTACTGGGAATTTCGTATTAAGGGAATGTAACGACATCAAGGATGACCTACTTCATGGTTATACTACCGTTATGACTCTTATTCATCTTGGTTCAACTAAAGCAAACCAAGCGTAAATATGTTTTTAATGCCTCGGTGAGCTGTTTGTTTCATTCCAGAAAGCTGAGAAGTCTGAAAGAGTGGACATCTTGCAAACACAGCCCCTTTCAAAACGTAAACGTCATTTTGGTAATATTATTAAATCTTGTAGTTGGAATAGAGTTTAATATAATAGCTGCAAGCAAGCTTTGCATTTTGTGTAATCCCCTGTACACATCAGAATTGCAGGTAAATGGTATTTGATGGAATTCTGCAATTGAAGAAAGCCTCTTTCTTCCAAAATGAGGATGGTTTGCACAAATGGCAGTTGGAGTCCAAATACAAACATGTAGAAAGAAACAGTACTTTGATGTGCTCTATTTATGTATGTAAAACGGTCTAGAGAAACTACTGATGCATACTGAAATAGAGAGGCATAAAATCCACCATTGCCTGGATTTTATTTCAAGGGAGATGCACAACCTGCCTGGACTTGAGTCCTATTTACAGAACTGAACGGTTTTACTAGATACAGTGAATTAAAATCTTTAGAGAAAAATAACAAAGTGCTTATTAAATAAAGATGAAAATACATCAAAGTACCTTGCCTTCTATTCTTAAGAGAAGCAGCTCTGATTTAAAGAGGTGTTGTCCAGTTATAAGCTCAGCTTGTCTCACTGTCTTGAACTGAGTTTCAATTGTCTTAAATATCTGGTTTAGAATAATACCTGATACTTTGTGTGTGCCGGCACTTTCAGTCGTTGTGTATTTAAGTTTACACCATCAAAATGCACTGGGTGCTTTTTCTTTTAGATTCTCTGGTAGCATGATTCTCTCTATTGGAAACCTTTAAATCGAGAGTGCTAAAAATTAAGACTGCCTGGTATCTTTTAACTTCCTTTAAAAAGTTCTTTGCTTTGTAATTTGAAATTGTGGGGCATGGAAGATCTGGCTATGTTCTGTTTATGTAGAGCTGTTAAACAAGACTTGTGCTTTTCCATGTTTTTCCCATGCTTTTACGTTAGTCACCTGTTCGATTGCTGCAGCTGAAAGCTGCCTCAGTATTGCAAAGTTCAAGTAAGTAAATTGAGCATAGTCTCAGTACAGCTATTAATGCATTTGCTCCCTTTTAAATTTTTTTCCTTCATTTTATTTTCACTTAATGATAGAATGACAAGAAAAGAAGATAAATTTTGCACCGTTTCACCACACTTCCAAATGCCAAATGAGGCAGTTGGCCTGTGTTCAGTGTAGTAAAAAGGAAATACTTAGCTCTATGCTGTACAACAAAATAACGGTATTTTGCTTTAAATGTGCCAGGTAAGCCCACAGCTGGCAACTTTTTGCCCATGTCTAGTTAAAACTTTTCCTGAACTTGGCCTAACGAGCTAAGGTATGGGCATGTCTGTCCTGTGAGTGAACTGTTGGTTTCAGTGGGTGCTGAGCACAGGCTGCGCTTTCCCATGGCTGTGTTGATGATCGTTTGTTTAACTAGAAGACAGAGGATGAGGTGTGAACTCCCAGTGGCCTTCTAGGGATGGGAGATTAGTAAGTGTAGGTGTGACTTGGGAAATGTTCAGTTACTGCATTTACAAGGAAAGGTATTTGGAAATGGAGTACGCTTGAATTTTAGGAGAAGCCTCTCAGTGGGAGGTGGATACGTGTTTTCTCTTTTCAGCATAACCGTAAAGTCGTGTTTGGCCCTTTCTGTCTGCGTAAGCTACATATTTAATAGGAGGCAAAGAAAAGGTTTCATTTCTGTAACACAGGCAGGATTCCTGTAGCTTGAGTTAGGGCAAGTCAGCATCCTCGCTAGTGTAAGCCCGTGAACTTTAGCTTCTTGCTGTAGTGGAAGTAGATGAAGTACGATCAGCCACGTGTCCTGAACTACAGCACAGACACGTCCAGGAACGTCTGAAGCAGCAGATGGTGAGCTCCAACAATGGCGCAGCCAAACGGGAAATGAGGGCGTGGTTTGAAGGGGCTGGCCGCCAGCAAGGTCCTGTAGCTGCGGACACATAAGAGGTAACCGTAGTACTGAAAGGGAGCCCCAGGAGCCTGCACCGGAGTCCGGGATCATGTCTCCAACCTCAGGGAGTGGGGGTGAGCCCAGGGGACCCCAGAACTGTGCACTGCGTGGCTGGAACCGCTGCGCTGTCTCTCCTGGAGCGCGTCATGTCTTCCAAGTGACAGGGGAGTGGTGTAACTGGTAACATTGCAACATCTGTGATTAAAGCGTTTTGCTGTCCGACTTCATTTTGCCTCCAGACTGTTGTTTGCTCAACCATGACAACTCCCCAAGTGAAACCAAAATATATTTGCTTAAAAGGTGCACGTACCAAAAGGCACTGTAATAATTTATACCCCTGCCACTCAAAAGATAACCATGAGGTTTTAAAGTGGACAAAGTTAAATGAATATTCAGCAACTGGGGTAAATGTGAATAGCAGGACTGCTCTAAAGATAATTATCTGCAGTTACAGTGCTGATGGTAATATGTTTCCAGCAAGAGAATATAGTCCCTAAGTGACCACAACTGGATTTTGTTGTTGTTAAGAAAAAAAAGAAAACCTTCAGAGTAACAAGACCTGCAGGGAGGAGTGATGGTTTTGCTGACAAAAGGTAAAAGATGTTCTTTTTCCCCATGTTTTGAATGTGGAAAATGTTTCATTGCACATTTTTTCTTAATGCATCTTTCAGTGAAGTGAACTGTAGGTTTCAAAAGTACAGAAAATAGTAGGCAAGTGGTGTGATGTATAACCTCGTACTTGCACAACCAAACCAGCAGTTACCAAACATAAAACTACTACTGTAATTTTTATTTTAAAATTACTAATCCAAAAGTCCCCTCATTACAGGATGTTTCTGTAATGTGCGGTTGTAAGAAAGCAAGAATAATTTGATAAAAGAGGAGCCAAATTGTGACTGCCAGGACTGCCAGAAAGCAATTTCAGTTAAAAACTACAGAAAACTGCAAAGGTAGTGAACTTGGGTTTTGTTACCCTCTGTGTCAGATTTGTTTTGGCCCAAGTTAATATTGGAACAAGCCCTATTTTAACAGATGAATGAGTCAGACTGAATCATGCCCCCTTGGCAGGGGACAGTAAACAGAGATACGTAAATGATGCACCCGAACTTTGACTTTCAGTGTGCAGCAGAGAAGGCTGATAAGAATTTTAAACTTCAGACAAGATTTTGAAAAAACAAGTAGTTAAATGTGATTCTTAATTTGTAGTTAAAAGCCTACCTCAAAACTCACTCGGTGTCATTACCCCCTCTTAGTTTACTTTTGTCTTTGTAAAAATGGAGAACTTCTTTCTCCCAGCAGTAACTCTGCAGGGGTGTTCGTCAGCTTTCATCCAAGGCACTGACTTTCGTATCGACCGAAGTTTTCTGAGCCCTTACTGTCCGGCCAAAGGAGAGAACAAGTTAAAAAAACATTTGAAATTCAGATGCCTGCTTCTATTTTACTGAGTGGAATGATACAGGAAAATAAAGTTTGAGGTCTGGAAGTTTTCATAGTTAGAAGTTACAAAGGTAGTAAACAGGTAAATTTAAATGGCCTTTTATATTGTAATCTCTCAGTACTCTGCAGACATTAAGAAAATAATTATTTAATTATTTCCCCTGCTGTGTGATTGTTTTTTATTGTATTCTGGGGAAGACTTTTTTTTTTTTTTTTTACTATATGAGTCTGTGGTGAATCTCTAAAATACCTTCCATGTTAATACAGCAGTTGTATTTTGTGCACACAAAACCAGGTAAGGTTTTTAGCCTCCTAATTATCGAACTTCTTACTTGAAGTTTTTCCTGTTCCTAAGCCCATTTCTCAGCCAGACACAGGCTCTGGAATAGGCTGTTGTTTCAGAGGGGCTCCAGATCAGCCTCAAGGGTGTTCTGTCTAGCAGTCTGTCTCCTGAACTACCGGCTCAGAGATGTGCAGCAAGGTAAACTGAGCTCACTTCTGCTGATGGTGGTGTGCCTTGGTCCTGTACCACATTTTTAGGTTGAACAAGTAAGAGTTCAAACATTGTAGGGCCCTTGTGCTGATTATTTTATGCCTACCAGCACTTCCTAACAATGTAGGTTATTATTCTAAACAGAAAAACATAGCGCTACAGTGAAAAACTGGAAACTTCTTTTTTCTGAAGGAAAGGCATAAGATAGGTTTGGATTATTTGGAAATTATATTACCTGGATACTTATGTTAGAATTATTAGCAGAGAAATAGCTAATTGGAATTTTTTTCAAGTGCTTTGATAATTTAGGAGCAAAGATTTTATTCCCAAATCAATGGCATTTGTGCTTCTAAATCCTTTAAAAAACCAATTTATAAATTGCCATCATTACATTTCACAGCTAGAACCTCACTGAGATTAGCAGGTAGCACAAACTTCTCAAAATAAATGTTTCGGAGTGATTCATATCACTGAATCAGTGGCAGTCATGTCACTTTTTCAAGATACATTTTCACAGAGTTAGAAACAGCTTTTTTAAAATAAGCTCATCTTAGCTGAGTTGCCAATATGGCAACAGCAAGAGCAAACACTAATGGCCTCAAAACAGGAACTCTTCTAGAATATCCAGAAGTGGTGAAAATGACTGAATAGTTTAAACAGCAGCAAATTCTGTGATGGGAGAGCACACAACATAGATTCAAATTACAGAGCCCTGTTAAAAAATGCCACCAGTTGATGCTCAGCTACATTTTTACAGCTCACTGTTTACCTGTACAAAAGTTGTAGTAAAAATATCGTTACATTGAGAGGTTAATTTGAAAACAGTCTCTTTGAACATAGACTGAAAAAGAATGTTCAGATTTACACAAACTGACAGAGATGCATTTATAAGTGTTAGAAATTGGTTGTAGTTTTAATTTGGGGGATGAAAACAGCAATATCTTCTTGTTATCTCAGGTTCTGCAGCTGCAGGTTTTGTTTACATGCCCTTAGCTAGCTATAGAAACAATTCCTGGTGAAAGGTTTTGTGGAGCATCAGTGCCAAACATGGAACTGTGTGCCAGCCTGCGTATCGGTATGTCACAAAATTTGTATTTGGTACTTTGCTGTCAAGAAATTGCTCTCTCGCATTACGTACAGATTATGTTGAACAGGTACAGTCACAAGAAAAGCAAGAACAGACTTTGGATAAGCACAAGCAGGTAATGTTGCATACAATCATGAAAAAGCTTTTGCGTTTTTTTTTTTTAAACTTCATTAGGCATGCACATGTTTGGGGTTTTTTTGTTTGCTCCTCTTCCCCCAAAGTGCAGGAAATACTGTAGTACTTCCTTGAAAGCAGCACGTTTTTCACTAATCTTAACCACAAAAAGCAAATAACGTACATCCGAATTCTTTTGATTATAAACAATCTGTATAATCTGAGACATTGGAGTATTCCACCTCTTCATTTACGTATATGGATGTCAACAAAATGCATTACATCTGAGAGAGGTACAGTGGACATAGCATCCTGGTAATCTAAATAACATTGCCAGAGAATCATAACACAGTTCAGTTGTAGGTTTTTTCCCAAACTTACACAGATGAGTCTTCATTAATATCCCTGGGTTTTAATATGGTCAGAGTACAAGTGAAAACTAATCCACAGTCTTTTCAGTTTTCACTGGAAATAGCTTGACATCCTTTAAATCTGAAGGGATGCTCAATACCAAAGGAACATAATGGAGGTTGTTGTTTTATTTTTTAATGTAGAGGAGTTGGATGTCCCATGTTAAATCCATAACCGCCTTCGGCTAAAGGTCTCCCTCTCCCTGGGCAGTCCCCTCTAGGTACTGATCTCCTGATACAGAACTTGCTGAACACGTAACAGGAATTTTTAGTCTTTTAGGTAAGATTACTGCTTTCCCTTTCTGCCTGAACTCTGGTCCACTCGGTAGCTCCTAGTCAAACACTCCCAACAGAAAGCAATGGCCCAGACACCACTTCTGTTGTGATCAGCTCTCTCCCGTTTCTTCTCCATTTTCCATTTTTAAATAACTGAGTCATACTATCAGAGGCCCTCTACTGCTCTTCAAAAATGCAGGGCCAGGAGGAAAATTTTGTTAGTGAAGTAAATTGTGAAGGGGTGGTGCAATACTGAAGGGACCTTTAAAATGGGAAGTGCTACCAAATGGACTTCCCATTGGTCGTCTTCCTGCTTAGTATTTAATAATATAAATGAAAAGACTATGCAGCACAGAGAAATCCTCTTGTTTTCTTTGAACAGCCATTTCTCCTTCCCCTTTCATTGTACTTTGCCCCAGTGTCTGTTTGGGCTACTATTGAAAAAAAATTATATACTGAGTAACATAAGCAACTTCTTATTTAGGTCTACAAAGAGATTTCCTGCTAATGGCTGGCATTTTGTTCTGCAAGTGATCAAAAGGTTTCTGCAACACATTATGAAGAGACCTTTACTACAAGATTCTGGAAGGAAAACTTGATCCTCAGGTATAAAAGAATTTTTGCCATAACACTATAATAAATTGCTGTGTAATCATATTAGTGGAGGTTCCTAGGAAATTAGTCTTTTCCCCTTTTCTTCCCTCCATAACCTTTCGGCTGGTGGAGTGGTAATTTTAAAGACATGAGACCTTATGTTTCGTGAAAACGGGAGTTAAGTGGAGAAGAAAGACCTTATTACTCATCCCTGCATATACACATAACACTTTTTTAGACTCCAGTGACTCCAGCCACGAGATCTGATCTATTGGAACGGGTGCTTCCTTAGCTTTATTGCTCACAGGACTACTTGCTTAATTTTGTAAGCAAGCGTTGCTAGAGAGTGTTGTGCTGTTTTATTAAATTCTGTGTAATGTTGGCTACCCTGTACTTTCTGTGGCATTTGACCACCTTAAAATGAATTTGTAGCCTGATCTCATTTTGACCTGAATGTCAAATTCACAAAGCTTGTGAATTGAAACAATTAATTTTAGAAGCTGAAATGTTCTGAAATGCAATGGGTTTGAAGCAGTCTGAATCACTAATAGGATTTCATTCAAAGATAACATTGTTTCATAAATCAACTTGTTTGCATTTAAACATGGTTTTGGTTTATTCATCCTCACTTTTTGTACAAATTCTTCCCCAAATAATGCAAACAAGATTGGTAACAATGAATAACTGTTCCCTGTCTGTCTAGAAAGCTGTGAGGGTTCTAAGAGTTTATAGAGTACAACTTCAGTCCATTTATTTCTTACATCTTCTATTAATATTTCCTTCGTGAATTTCCATGTAAGATGTCTAGAAGCCTTTTCCTCCTTCAGTGAAAAGAGTATACCAAACTTTAATGTTATTAAGTCCGAATGTCTCGCAATCAATAACATATGGAAGTTATCTAACAGCAGTTGTCTCTGACTAATTTTCACTGAGACTGTGTGAAGTATTTTAGGCAATACTGATTCTAATGTAGCTGTTAGTACTGCTACAAATCTCCTAAACTCTGTATTTAACAGTGGCATGTCTCTGTGTGATGAGAAATCACGTTTATCTTCCCTGGCCTTTAAAACAATATTATCAGCTTCCTTCAGAGTAGCTGCTAAAGTTTTGAAGTCCAAAAAATAACATAAAAGATCAGTTAATTTAGGGAGTAAGTGATCTTTTAGTGCTTTATATAACTTCATCAGGAGCTTCTCTGGATCAGGTCCTCCACTTGATTTGGTGCCCTCAGCTTCTTCCTTCAGATGCTGGGATTTATCTTGGACTCTAACGTCTCTGACCAGAGTCCTCAGAAGGTATTGTATTTTTCTGTTTTGTTTTCTAGTAGCTACTATAATATGGTTTTCTCTTTGACTTCTTACTTTACACACTGTAACAGCATGTCTTTTCTTCTCTGTCTTGCTGTACTCTTGTCTACATTGATATAAAACACACACTATTTTTTCTGACACTAGAGCATGTAGCAGGCACCCTGGGAATAGAAGCTTATTCAGTGTTTTCTTTGCATCTATATTTTTATACACCTCAAGATTTTTTATTTCAGAGATAAGAAATCTGCATTCTGCATTTTCTCCCCTTTCAGTTCCTGAAGTTTTCTCAGTTAACTTTCTCTTCAATACAACCTTGTAAATCCCATACAGTGAGCTGCTAGGTAATGTGCCATCATGGATTTTTGCTGATTTTTGCTGATTTTTGCTGGTTTCAACCTCCGGTGCTAGAAATGAGCTGAAAAGAAAATTGTTCCATTCACATTTTCTATGCCTGTGACTAACCAGACAGTCTCTTTGTGTTGTCAAGGCAGAAAGAGAGACGGACCATGTCATTTGGCCTGTCTTCGTCTGAGTAAGAGAATCCTGTGAGGAACCAGATAGTGATATATAATATACTGTTGGTGTGATCAAGAAATGGTTATGTGAGCAAAACAAATAAATCTTTAGAGAGGGCAGCACTTGTTCAGCCAAGACACTTGGCTGGATAATATTTTGTATCAGGAATGGACCTGATGAATAAAATTCCCTACTTCTAGTATCTAAAACATCAACTAGAAAATTTAAGGTAAGATTTAAATCTTCCTTGGTAGTGAGATTTTCGGAAGGCAGCAAGACAAAAATAAAACCATCAAGAAAGGTGTCTCGCTTAATATTAGGGACGTATACCAAACAAAGAGTAAATACTCTGCCTAGTAAACTTCTTTTAACCATTACTGATCTCTTTTCTTAATATTTTCTTTTAATTTGAATTAAAATCTTGTGCCAGGAAGCTGGCTAGTACCCTAGGATTGGTACATCATCCTCATTTTATCTTAGTATTAAACAAAAAAAATCAGTATCAGCTGGAGAAAGGCTCCCCACACACACCCCCTACATCTGGTAAGTGTATCTGAAACAAGGCAAAATCTGGACATGTATCACAGGTATAAATTTTTAAACTATTGAATCAAGGCAGTTCTCAATTCCTCTGGGGCGATGCTGTGAAAAAGGACAGTCCTGTCAAAAATTCATAGCATTACCTCATGCTAAAACCCTTATGATTATCTCATATTCTCTGTGCAGTGAAAAAAAGATCATTTCATATTTCCCATGCAGTAAAAACCAAAATTATCTCATGTTTCTACCTGTACATTATTGAAAATTGACCTCATCAATACATACAAATATCTTAAGGGTGGAAGTCATGAGGATGGAGCCAGACTCTTTGCAGTGGTGCCCAGCGACAGGACAAGGGGCAATGGGTACAAACTGAAACATAAGAGGTTTCAGTTGAATATGAGGAAGAACTTCTTTACTCTGAGGGTGACAGAGCACTGGACCAGGCTGCCCAGGGGGGTTGTGGAGTCTCCTTCTCTGGAGATACTCAAAGCCCGCCTGGATGAAGTCCTGTGTAACATGCTCTAGGTGAACCTGTTTTAGCAGGGGGGTTGGACTGGATGATCTCCCGAGGTCCCTTCCAACCCTTGCGATTCTGTGATTCTGTGAAAACAGTAATCTGTCATGAAAAATATCACAAAATTCAAAGATAAATGATAGTGGTTATAGTGATTTCTGTATCATTTGATACACGTTTAAAAATACATAGAAATTCTAAGTGTAACTGTTTATGTTGTAGTTGCAGTCTTCTCCGACATGTAAGCAAGCCTCCTATTTCAGTCTGTCTTCTCTCATCTTGCTTACCACATCATCCTCTACAACTACTGTATTCTTAGGGTTGCTCTGCATGATGTTTTCCCACCATTCTTCCACTCCAATGCTTTACTCTGTTATTATTTCTGAAAAATAAACAAAACACATGCTTTTAATTAAAGGAAACGTCCTCCCCTGCTTTCCTTATGGAGTCAAATCATTTAACTTTAAATGTACTCACTGTTGCAGCCATTGCTGCTTGTAGTCTCAACCAGGTTGGCACCACACTCTGAAGAACTCGTCCTTGGAACAGAAGCTTTCCTGAGCAGAAGAGACAAAAGGGAGGAAAAAAACCACGCAGAATAAAAAAAGTTATCACAGAGGAGACAAATTAATTGAATGATGCTTCCACTGAAAAAAGGTACATGGATCTTCTACAGTCACTTTCTAATTAATACTCAACATTTTTGAGAAGTATGTATTTGAGGGAGAACAACAGAGACCAGAGGCAGAAGCAGCACTCAGAACTACATGGCTTCTCTCCTGAAGTTAATGTTACTGTTTGTCTGATTTCTCAGGTCTTTATTTAAGCAATTAGTAGATACCACAAAATTATTTAATTTATCATTAACTCTCTTAGCATTTGGAAATGAAGTATCAATAATGTGGTATTTTCCACACTTTCTTGAG